TGGGGGCAGGGGCGGGGGTAAGACTGTACCCTGGGTATGGGTACATTGCCTGATTTTTGAACCATTGTAAACATATAACTTAGAAACATTTAAAAATATTATTATCAAGCGGGATACATTGTTACATATGGCAGAATAATACAAAGGCTATCATTTTGAAAATGATAAGATTTTGAAAGCATCTGAGGGCTTCTTGGAGTGGTGGCATATGAGCTGGCTGGCTTTAAAGATCAATTTAGAAAGGTAGAGAATTAACGTAGGATCTTCTAGGTATTAGGATCTGCATAAGCAAAAGCCCAGGGGTTTGAAAGCCTATTGAGCTGAGTGGAAATGCTTCTCCCCAGGACACTTTCTCAAACTCATTGAGAAAATAATGAGCTAAGAGTTTACTTTTGTCTCTCTGGGACTGTAGCATGATAAAGCTGGTTCCTCTATCTTTGCTTAATGTGTCTTATATACTGTTAACATTACATCCTCAGATATATCAGATTTCACCCATTGCTCATCTTTGAGAAAAGTCACTAAATAAATGTGGATTTACTTGGGCCATGAAAATTGAATCCTAATCCATTTTAGGACAAGATTTATCAGAAAATTCAAATGATTAAAGTTGATTTTTAACCTCTTTAGCCTTAGTTAGACATGGATCTATTGTTATTAAGGGACTCAGGTTTGTGTAATAATTTATTTAAGTATTGGAGTCATAATAGCATGTGCCTTAGCTGTATTTCTTATTTTACATCTCTTAATTTACATCTTGTTATCCTTCCCACAAAACATGAGAACATCGAATATTAGATAATTCATGATGACAGGATAAAGAAAAGTCAACTTTGTTTTTACCAAACCTCATGAAGTTGCTCAATAATCCTAAAATGACTCATTTTAGTACTTTAAAAAGTCACATTAATCCTGTTGCCTTGAAAACAGTGCTTTAGGGAAAGTGAATCCGATTACATTAAAATCTCTCTCTCTCTTTCTCTCTCTCTCTCTCTCTCTCTCTCTCTCTCTCTCCACACACACACACACACACACACACACACACACACACACACACACCATCTATGCAAAGAAACAAAAAAGCCTTGAAGGAAATTATAACAAATGTTTACATTGAAACGATTCAGATGGTAGGGCCATGATGATTTTTCTTTTCCTGCAACTTTTTCTATATTTCCCAAATTTTATTTAATGAGCACAACTACTTTTATAGTAAAAACAGAAAAGGAAAACAACCAAAGCACATATTTAAAAAGAGTTTGGTGGA